CAACTGGCCTTGGCTGACAAAGACCTACAGGACAGCAGGTACTATTACCGTGAAAGTGTGTACAGATCACCCATTCTACTATGCCCAGTGTGTGGTCACCTACGCATCCATGGGAGAAAAATAAGCAGATAAACTCCATGTCGATTCCTCATAAAAAAAAATAAAATAAAAAAAAAAGAAAGGGACGAACTTTCGGGATTAGTACATGATTAACAAAGGCGAAGGCTTTTAAATAGGACTTCGGGGGAGTATCGTAAAGCTGTCGTAGATGATGTAGCTAGTCTGTGGCACGGGACTTTGCCCACACAAAGGTCTTCCCAGTTGGAACAGTACTGGAAACCTGTCCATCTCGTCCTCTGAATTTGTTGTGGTGTTGTTGAAGAGCTCACAGAGTCTATTCTGAGCTATCTTTATGTGGAGTTAGAGGGGAACTGACACTTCCCAGAATTTTAATACTATGTAGAAGTATCTGCTAGATTTAAAAAAAATTGTTTGGGAGGTGTGAAAAACAAAATTAAATGTAAATAACATAACTTTGCCCTGCAACTGGTCATCTCCACCTTAAAGGGACACTTTAGTCACCAGAACAACTACAGCTTAATGTAGTTGTTCTGGTGAGTAAAGTCAGTCCCTGCAGGCATTTTCACGTAAACACTTTATTTTCAGAGAAAAAGCAGCATTTACATTACTGCCTAGGGACACCTCCAGTGGCAGTCACTCAGACGCCCACTAGAGGTGCTTTCTGGGTTACATTCAGCATCTCCAAGCTCTGCATGGAGGCGCTGAACTTTCCCCACTGAAATGTATTAATTCAATGCATCTCTCTGAGGAGATGCTGATTGGCGCAGAGTGGCGGTTTGCTGCGCATGTGCATGACCCTCCCAATGTTTTCTTATGGGACAGCACTGATGATCTCAGCCAGGGGAGGCGGAATGGGGGTGGGGCCAGTGCCGGCGCTGGAATAAAGGAGAGTTTATAGCCAATTTAAAGGGGGCAATGGGTGCTGGTAACAAAAATGATGTTTGTAGCGGATGGCACTGGGCTGTCCTGCAAATGTATTGTGAATAACTGCATTCGTGTGATCTGCTGTTGTTATATGTGTTTAAAAGAATTGTATTCCTCTGATTGTTCGGTAGAATCATTCGAATAAACTAAGGGAATGAAACTACCGAACAATCAGACCTCCCCTGTATAAAGTGTGTCCTCAATTACCCGTTGCAACATTGTTGCGAACGGGTAATTGACAAGTTAAGTAGCCGTCCTGTGTCCTCGGGGGTGGCCGCCATTCGACAATTTTAAAACTCCCGAACAGCAGTGTTTTGCCGTCGAGTGTCTGGAACTCAAATCGGACACTCGACTAGGTGAACACCGCTGAATCCTCCACAAGCCCGGTCCGTTCGGTTCCTAACTACCGAACGGCCCCTCGTTCGGTAGATAGAAAGAACCGAACGAGGGGATTCAGGCGAACCCTCCCTAGTCTCTATAGCTAAAGGATTTCGTGCAATTTGTTCCCTTATGCCAGGACCGACCGCAGGGCCCATTGGCATGGAACCACATTCGGCTATCTCAGTCAGTGCGGTCGGTCATTTTATTCCCTCCATACATTTCCCGAACCCCTGGTCTGATCTGGGTGATTTTTGCTCACCCAGATCAGGGCTATCAGGGGATGTAGGATTTAAAGGGGTACCCCTACGTTTAGGGGTACATCCAGAAACGGGGGGAATTGCTAGACTGGATAAGGGGATTATGATGCAGGCTGAGGGGAGGAGATGTGTGGGAGGTTACCAGGACAGGATTGGCTACTGTACTAATGATTGTAAATCCCTCCCTTGCATGGGAGCATGCTTTAAAAGGACAGTGTGGATTAAAAGATTTCAGTTCTGCTCCTGAAACTGTGTGTCGTCCAGTTATTGGGATTGCTGTGGGGATATTGCTGTTATTTTACCTGCTGGAAGCCTTGCCTGTGGATTTACTATTTACTTGTTCCTGAGCCTCACTTGGATTATAAGCTGAGATAACCTGGGGAATATTACCTCTCCGCTACAATGTTTTTAACACTATAGAATCAGGAATATGTTTGTATTCCTTACCCTATAGTGTTCCTTTAACTCTCTGTCGATCACTTTTAAAACCTGTGTCCTTTGCACCTGGCAGTCAGGGTAAAGAGAAAAGTAGAAATGAAAATGTTTCTATTAATTCTCCTCACATGCAATGTGTATTCTGGCTGGGGCTGGAGTGAACTGGATTGTAATGTTACTTGGTAATTTTTTTAATGCAATCTTTTAAAGAACATGGAGCAACTCAAGCAGAGATGAATAAATTACAGGTGATTTCTAATGTTTTATTAAATAGTGTAATAATATCCAGAGAAGGGACTATTCCCCTTTAACTCTGAGGAGCTATTTGTCCCAGGACATACTTGAAAATAAGAGAAATCTCAATGTATCTTTCCTGGTAAAATATCTTATAAATAAATATATCCACCAATGTTAGTTGTACTGGTGAAAGTATATGTGTCCTAACAGTGGCCTACTGAAATTAGTAGGTAAAGGGTTACTCCAAGAACCACGGCCACTTCATTAGCCACCTCGGAACAAGACTTTGGGGTTGGTTAATGTCAATTCTGTGCATATTCGAAACATAGAGGTATTCACTTTGGTGTCCGGAAATTAGCCTACTTCTCATGGAAAGAAGAATCACTGGATGCCAGGCTGTGCCTTGTGTTGAATGCAACAAACATAAAAATGTTCAATTAAGAACAATTTAGTAGTGAAATGGAATACATAGGCAAAGGCCAAGAGGGCACGAGCACTGGCATCACTAGCAATCAGAAGAAAAATAAATAAAAAAACAAGTTGGAACAAATAGCTTTTAGATTTAAGACTAAACTGTGCTCTTACTTCTAAAGCAGGGGAAGACCACCCTCGACACTTCAGATGTTGTGGACTACATCCCCCATAATGCTCTTACACCCATAATGCTGCCAAAGCATCATGGGAGGTTGTAGTCCAAAACATCTGCAGTGCCGAAGGTTGCCTATGCCTGTTCTAAAGTGTCAGTACCTTTTTAAAAAGAAAAAATCCCAAGAGCCGATTTCTAATGGTTCCCTAAAATTGCTGCGATTTCTTTTTCGGTCTAAGATGTCCATGGTATTTATACATCATTACGGATGCTTCTCTAGCATATCCTCCTATAGAGGACCACCACTAGCCTACATTAGTTAGAAGACCCTAACTTTAATGCAGTCACTTCTCTGGAAATTGCACCTCTGTATAAAACTTTGAAGAACTCCCATAACTTGTGTTAATGTTTTTTTTCCATGTGATAAATATCGTGAATAAGTAAAGAAAATATTATAGATCCTGGGATGTTAGTTTCTCTTTAACGCAGGTAGTCTATGGAATATAATACATATATTCATGTTATTTATTTAAACCAATGTGGAATGTAAGTAACATTATGACAAGGCTGTGCATTGCAAGATTAGGTCTCAACTTCTTACCCACTTGAGATCCTGACACACATAGTATGGCCTTGATTAATTATATTTGGGTACGCTTTTCAACGGATTTAATATTTTTGGATAAACTTTTGATGTTATTTCATATTTTGAAAAATATGATATCTAAATATTTAGATTTTTAAATATATTTTTATATATATTTTAATATTTTGAAAAAAAAGTTTTTTTTTTTGTTTAAAGAATCACTATAGGGTCAGGAACAAACACATGTATTCCTGACCCTATAGTGTTAAACCCACCATCTAGCCCCCCTGGGCCCCTCATGCCTCCATAAATATAGCAAAATCTTACTGTATTCAAGTCTGAAGCTGTAACTCTGCATGCTGTTTGCCTCAGAAAAACAAGCACTCTGCTGACATCATGAGAAGTGGTAGTCTGATCCAATCACAATGCTTCCCCATAGGATTGGTCTGACTGACAAAGAGGCAGATCAGGGGCAGACCCAGCATGATTCAAACACAGCCCTGGCCAATCAGCATCTCCTCATAGAGATGAATTGAATCAATGAATCTCTATGAGTAAAGTTCAGTGTCTGCATGTAGAGGGAGGAGACACTGAATGTTTGGATGCATTTTAGGCAGCCATGACCCAGGAAGGATCTCTAACAGCCATCTGAGGAGTGGCCAGTGAGGTTATCACTAGGATGTAACGTAAACACTGCATTTTCTCTGAAAAGACAGTGTTTACAGCGAAAGGCCTGAAGGTAATGATTCTACTCACCAGAACAAATTCAATAAGCTATAGTTGTTCTGGTGACTATAGTGTCCCTTTAAGGTTTATGCAAAAATATGAATTCATCAAGAATATTAAATTGAGGCCATTTTTTCGCACAGATCAAGGGTGAAACTCTTATGGTCTGATTAAATAACCTATATCAGGGGCAGATAATGGGGTGCGCACACTGTGAAAGGGAACAGATAAAGGGGGCATTAGCTTTAAGGGAGGAGATTAAGAGACACTTGTAAAAGTAACAGTGAGTAAAAGAGTATTAACAGTGAGGAAGGAGATAAACAGATACGCTGTTAAGGTAATATTGAAGGATGCATTAAATAAAGGGGTACATCTGGAGGGTAAAATTAGTGTACAACCTGACTGTAAGGGAAAAGATAAAGAGGTACAATGATTAAAAGGGAGGAGATAAAGGGGTATGCGGATTGAAAGGGAAGAGATAAAGAGGTACAGTGACTCAAAGGGAGGAGATTAAGTGGCTCTGACTAGGACGAGGAAGATCAAATGGTTCACTGGGAGGTTAATATTAAAGGGTTCACTGACTGAAATGGAGGAGGTAAAGGGGCACTGATTATAAGGTGGAGATAAACGGGTACACTGGCTGGGTAAAATTAGTAACATTGAATAAAAGGGAGGAGATACAGGGGTACACTGGGACGGTAAAATTAAGGGGTACATTGTAATAAGTGGGGAAGATACGGGGCACTGGTAATGAGGGAGGAGATAAAGAAGTATACTGACTGAAAGGAAGATGTAGGGGTACACTGGGAGAGTAAAATTAAGGGGTACATTGAGGTAGGAGATACCGAGGTGCCCTGTGAAAGAATGGATATTGGGGCTCACTGCCTTTGAAGGGGGATCCTGTGATGCACAGACTGTAGAATGGTTATGGGAGCCCTGGCAGGGATGGAGACCAGCTGGGGGTGAAGTGATATTGGGGTTCACTGGCTGTTGAGGGGGATTCTGTGCTGGACAGACATCACTGCCTGTCCATCAAAGGATCCCTGGCAGTGATGAAGGCCAGCTGGGGGTGAAGGGATATTGGGGTTCACTGAATATGATGGACAATGGTTATGGAAGCCCTGGCAGTGATGTAGGCCAGCTGAGGGGTGAAGGGATGTTGGGGTTCACTGGCTTTTAATGGGGATCCTTTGATGGACAGACTATACAATGGTTATAGGAGCCCTGGCAGGGATGGAGCCCAGCTGGGGGTGAAGTGATATTGGGGTTCACTGGCTGTGAAAGGGGAACCTGTGCTGGACAGACTGAGATGCACAGAGTGTAGAATGGTTATGGGAGCCCTGGCAGGAATGGAGGCAAGCTGGGGGAGAAGTTATATTGGGGTTCACTGACTGTGAAAGGGGACCTGTGCTGGAAAGACTCTAGAATAGTTACTGTAGCCCTGATAGTGATGGAGGCCAGCTGGGTGTGAAGTGATATTGGGGTTCACTGGCTGTGATGGACAATGGTTATGGGAGCCCTGGCAGTGATGTAGGCCAGCTGGGGGTAAAGGGATATTGGGGTTCACTGGCTATGATGGGGGATCCTCTGACGTACAGACTGTAGAATGGTTATGGGAGCCCTGGCAGGGATGGAGACCAGCTGGGGGTGAAGGGATATTGCGGTTCACTGGCTGTTAAGGGGGATTATGTGCTGGACAGACTGGAGAATGGTTATGGGAGCCCTGGCAGTGATGAAGGCCAGCTGGGGGTGAAGGGATATAGGGGTTCACTGACTATGATGGACAATGGTTATGGGAGCCTGGGCATGGTTGGAGGCCAGCTGGGGGTGAAGTGAAATTGTGGTTTACTGACTGTGATGGACAATGGTTATGGGAGCTCTGGCAGGGTTGGAGGCCAGCTGGGGGTGAAGAGATACTGGGGTTCACTGATGTACAGACTGTAGAATGGTTATGGGAGCCCTGTCAGGGATGGAGGCCAGCTGGGGGTGAAGAGATATTGGGGTTCACTGACTGATGGACCATGGTTATGGGAGCCCTAGCAGTCATGGACAATGGTTATGGGAGCTCTGGCAGGGATGGAGGCCAGCTGGGGGTGAAGAGATATCGGGGTTCACTGACTGATGGACCATGGTTATGGGAGCCCTAGCAGTGATGGACAATGGTTATGAGAGCTCTGGCAGGGATGGAGCCAGCTGGGGGTGAAGAGATATTGGGGTTCACTGACTGATGGACCATGGTTATGAGAGCCCTAGCAGGGATGGACCATGGTTATGGAAGCCCTAGCAGGGATGGACCATGGTTATGGGAGCCCTGGCAGTAAGCTCTGGCAGGGATGGAGCCCAGCTGGGGGTGAAGAGATATTGGGGTTCACTGACTGATGGACCATGGTTATGGGAGCCCTAGCAGGGATGGACCATGGTTATGGGAGCCCTAGCAGTGATGGACCATGGTTATGGGAGCTCTGGCAGGGATGGAGCCCAGCTGGGGGTGAAGTGATATTGGGGTTCACTGACTGATGGACCATGGTTATGGGAGCCCTAGCATAGATGGACAATGGTTATGGGAGCTCTGGCAGGGATGGAGGCCAGCTGGGGGTGAAGAGATATTGGGGTTCACTGACTGATGGACCATGGTTATGGGAGCCCTAGCAGGGATGGACCATGGTTATGGGAGCCCTAGCAGTGATGGACCATGGTTATGGGAGCTCTGGCAGGGATGGACAATGGTTATGGGAGCTCTGGCATGGATGGAGGCCAGCAGGGGGTGAACGGATATTGGGGTTTACTGATGTACAGACTGTAGAATGGTTATGGGAGCCCTAGCAGGGATGGACAATGGTTATGGGAGCTCTGGCAGTGATGGACAATGGTTATGGTAGCCCTAACAGTGATGGAGGCCAGCAGGGGCTGAAGTGATATTGGGGTTCACTGACTGATGTACAGAGGGTAGAATGGTTATAGGAGCCCTAGCAGTGATGGACAATGGTTATGGGAGCTCTGGCAGGGATGGACAATGGTTATGGAAGCTCTGGCAGGAATGGAGGCCAGCTGGGGGTGACGTGATATTGGGGTTCACTGACTGTTAAGGGGGATCCTGTGATGTACAGAGGGTAAAATGGTTATGGGAGCCCTAGCAGTGATGGACACTGGCAGGGATAGATAATGGCTATGGGAGCTCTGGCAGAGATGGAGGCCAGCTGGGGGTGAAGAGATATTGGGGTTCACTGACTGATGGACCATGGTTATGGGAGCCCTAGCAGTGATGGGCCATGGTTATGGGAGCCCTGGCAGGGATGGAGGCCAGCTGGGAGTGAAGTGATATTGGGGTTCACTGACTGTTAAGGGGGATCCTGTGATGTACAGACTGTAGAATGGTTATGGGAGCCCTAGCAGTGATGGACAATGGTTATGGGAGCTCTGGCAGGGATGGACCATGGTTATGGGAGCCCTGGCAGGGATGGTCCATGGTTGTGGGAGCTCTGGCTGGGATGGACCATGGTTGTGGGAGCCCTGGCAGGGATGGACCATGGTTAAGGGAGCCCTGGCAGGGATGGACCATGGTTATGAGAGCCCTGGCTGGGATGGACCATGGTTTTGGGAGCCCTGGCTGGGATGGAGCATGGTTATGGGAGCTCTGGCAGGGATGGACCATGGTTATGGGAGCTCTGGCAGGGATGGACCATGGTTATGGGAGCACTGGCAGGGATGGACCATGGTTATGGGAGCCCTGGTAGGGATGGACCATGGTTATGGGAGCCCTGGCAGGGATGGACCATGGTTATGGGAGCCCTGGCTAGGATGGACCATGGTTATTGGAGCTCTGGCTGGGATGGACCATGGTTATGGGAGCCCCATGTTTATGGGAGCCCTGGCTGGGATGGACCATGGTTATGGGAGCCCTGGCAGGGATGGACCATGGTTATGGGAGCCCCATGGTTATGGGAGCCCTGGCTGGGATGGACCATGGTTATGGGAGCCCTGGCAGGGATGGACCATGGTTATGGGAGCCCCATGGTTATGGGAGCCCTGGCTGGGATGGACCATGGTTATGGGAGCCCTGGCAGGAATGGACCATGGTTATGGGAGCCCTGGCAGGGATGGACCATGGTTATGGGAGCCCTGGCAGGGATGGACCATGGTTATGGGAGCCCTGGCAGGGATGGACCATGGTTATGGGAGCCCTGGCTGGGATGGACCATGGTTATGGGAGCTCTGGCAGGGATGGACCATGGTTATGGGAGCTCTGGCAGGGATGGACCATGGTTATGGGAGCTCTGGCAGGGATGGACCATGGTTATTGGAGCTCTGGCTGGGATGGACCATGGTTATGGGAGCTCTGGCAGGGATGGACCATGGTTATGGGAGCTCTGGCAGGGATGGACCATGGTTATGGGAGCTCTGGCAGGGATGGACCATGGTTATGAGAGCCCTGGCAGGGTTGGACCATGGTTATGGGAGCCCTGGCAGGGATGGACCATGGTTATGGGAGCCCTGGCTGGGATGGACCATGGTTATGGGAGCCCTGGCAGGGATGGACCATGGTTATTGGAGCTCTGGCAGGGATGGACCATGGTTATGGGAGCTCTGGCAGGGATGGACCATGGTTATGGGAGCTCTGGCTGGGATGGACCATGGTTATTGGAGCTCTGGCAGGGTTGGACCATGGTTATGGGAGCCCTGGCAGGGATGGACCATGGTTATGGGAGCCCTGGCTGGGATGGACCATGGTTATGGGAGCCCTGGCTGGGATGGACCATGGTTATTGGAGCTCTGGCAGGGTTGGACCATGGTTATGGGAGCCCTGGCAGGGATGGACCATGGTTATTGGAGCTCTGGCAGGGTTGGACCATGGTTATGGGAGCCCTGGCAGGGATGGACCATGGTTATGGGAGCCCTGGCAGGGATGGACCATGGTTATGGGAGCTCTGGCAGGGATGGACCATGGTTATTGGAGCTCTGGCAGGGATGGACCATGGTTATGAGAGCCCTGGCAGGGTTGGAGGCCAGCTGGGGGTGAAGTGATGGACACAGCAGTAGTTGCCCCCCTGGTGGTAAAATATTAGATGATACTGACCCTGAATAGCATCCCAGTCACGTGTCCCTGAGCCTCCCACGTGGTTCTGTTCCCATTACAGCCATGGCCCCGCCTTCTCAGTGTCAAACCCGTAGGCGGGACTATCAGGATACTTGGAACCTATAGATCCCGAGAGTATGGGCGGGGCTGTGAGGCCCCCCGCCTTCTTTGCGCGTGCCCGCCTACTAACACCTGATCCATCCTTAGGAAGGTTGGAACGTGGGGGCTGCGGCAGTTCTCTCCACCAATAGGATTGCCCAGTGGGCGGGCCTTCGCTCTGTCTGAGACTCCAGACGCCCCGCCCCGCGCCTGGCCCCGCCCCCCGCGCCGTCTGACAGGATCGGGAGCGCGCATCCCAGACAGACACGGACTGACCGGAGTCCGGACACAGGTACTGACCGCACCGGGGCCCCGAGCAGGGCGAGTCCGGGGCCACCGCCACCACCGAGGGCCGACTCAAACATGACATGCGGGGACGGTGGCCCCGAGCTGGGCGAGTGAGGGAGAGTCTGCCTGGAGTGAGGGCTGTGTGTGTATTATACTGTGTGTTTGTGATATCTGAGGGCTGTGTGTATTATACTGTGTGTGTTTGTGATATCTGAGGGCTGTGTGTATTATACTGTGTGTGTGTGTGATATCTGAGGGCTGTGTGTATTATACTGTGTGTGTGTGTGAGATATCTGAGGGCTGTGTGTGTGTGTGAGATATCTGAGGGCTGTGTGTATTATACTGTGTGTGTGTGTGTGTGATATCTGAGGGCTGTGTGTATTATACTGTATGTGTGTGATATCTGAGGGCTGTGTGTATTATACTGTATGTGTGTGATATCTGAGGGCTGTGTGT